CCCACCCCCCCACGCCCGCACCTTGCTGGCGCTGAGCAGGAAGCTGCTGACGCGGCGCGGCTGCTCAAACAGGGCGATGCTCTCCAGGATGAGCGCGCGGCCGCCAGGCAGCTCCAGCGCTTTGTGCACTGAGCCCTCGGCTGCGGGCACAGCAGGGGGTGCTGCCCCACACGGACAGCGCCCCATAGGGACCCACCGCCCCATAGGGACCCACTGCCCCATAGGGACCCACTGCCCCATAGGGACCAACGCCCCATAGGGACACACCACCCCATAGGGACAGTGCCCCACAGAGCCACCACCCCACAGGGACCCCCCACCCCATTGAGACACCGCCCCATAGGGACACACCACCCCATAGGGACACATGGCCCCATAGAGCTGCCACCCCATAGAGCCGCTGCCCCATAGAGCCCAGTGCCCCATAGGGACACACTGCCCCATAGGGACACTGCCTCGTAGGGACACCACCCCATAGAGACTCACCGCCCCATAGAGTTACTGCCCCATAGACCTGCCGCCCCATAGGGACACATCACCCCATAGAGCCCACTGCCCCATAGGGACACATGGCCCCATAGAGCCCAGCGCCCCATAGGGACATGCAGCCCCATAGAGCCACCACCCCATAGAGCTGCTGCCCCATAGAGCCCACCACCCCATAGAGCCCATCACCCCATAGGGACACAATGCCCCACAGGGACCCCCTGCCCCACAGAGCCCCCGCCCCACAGAGCCCCCCGCCCCACAGGGACCCCACACCCCACAGAGCCCCCTGCCCCACAGAGCCCATCACTGCCCCATAGGGACACACGGCCCCATAGGGACCTACCACCCCATAGAGCCCATCACCCCATAGGGACACACGGCCCCACAGGGCTCCCTGCCCCACAGGGCCCCTACCCCACAGGGCCCCCCACCCCACAGAGCCCATCACTGCCCCATAGGGACACACGGCCCCACAGGGCCCCCACCCCACAGGGCCCCCACCCCACAGAGCCCCCCGCCCCGCAGGCCCCGCCGCGCAGACGCACCGGTGGCCATGAACAGCAGGCGGAACGGCGCCCCGCCGAGGCCGCGGGTGGGCAGCACGGCGATGTGGGTGTAGCTGACGTTGGGGCTCAGCAGCAGCGGGCGGCCGTGGTTGGGGGGCACCGGGGTCTCCATCAGGAAGTGCTCCTTCATGAACGTCAGCGCCTGGTCCGACCACGGCGCCACCGAGCACTGCGGGAAACGGCGCGCGGCTGCGGGGGCTGGGGGGGCTGGGGGGGCTATGGGGTGCTGGGGGGTGCTGTGTTATGGGGTGCTATGGGGTGCTATGGGGTGCTGTGTTATGGGGTGCTATGGGGTGCGATGGGGTGCTATGGGGTACTATGGGGTGCTATGGGGTGCTGTGGGGTGTGCGATGGGGTGCTATGGGGATGCTGGGGGGTGCTATGGGGTGCTATGGGGTGCTATGGGGTGCTATGGGGGCGCTGGGGGATGTGCTATGGGGGTGCTGTGCTATGGGGGTTGTTATGGGATGCTATGGGATGCTATGGGATGTTATGGGATGCTATGGGATGCTATGGGATGCTATGGGATGCTATGGGATGTTATGGGATGCTATGGGACGTTATGGGATGTTATGGGATGCTATGGGATGCTATGGGATGCTATGGGATGCTATGGGATGCTATGGGATGCTATGGGATATTATGGGGTGCTATGGGATGTTATGGGACGTTATGGGATGCTATGGGATGTTATGGGATGTTATGGGATGCTATGGGATGCTATGGGATGTTATGGGATGCTATGGGATGTTACGGGATGTTATGGGATGTTATGGGATGTTATAGGACGCTATGGGATGTTACGGAATGTTATGGGATGTTATGGGATGCTATGGGATATTATGGGATGTTATGGGACACTATGGGATTTTATGGGATGCTATGGGATGCTATGGGATGTCATGGGATGCTATGGGACGCTATGGGATATTATGGGATGTTCTGTGGCTGCGTTCCGTGGCCGCCCCCACTCACGCTGCCAGGCCGGGCCCCGCCGCTGGGGGCGCTGCGGGGGCTCCACGCCGCGCCGTCCTTCTCCCGCTCCAGGAAGCGCCCCTCGAACGCCGCCCGCAGCGCAGCGCGGCTGAACGAGCAGAGCGCGGAGCCGCCGGGGAGCCTGGGGGGGGGTGGGGAGCGGCTCCACACCGAGCGTCGCCCCATAGGGAGCATCGCCCCATAGGGAGCATCGCCCCATAGGGAACTGCCCCACACCGAGCATCGCCCCACACCGAGCATCGCCCCATAGGGAGCTGCCCCACACCGAGCATCGCCCCATAGGGAGCTGCCCCACACCGAGCATCGCCCCATAGGGAACTGCCCCACACCGAGCATCGCCCCATACGGAGCATCGCCCCATAGGGAGCATCGCCCCATAGGGAGCTGCCCCACACCGAGCATCGCCCCATACCGAGCATCACCCCATAGGGAACTGCCCTATAGGGAACTACCCCATACTGAGCATCGCCCCAAAGGGAGCTGCCCCACACCGAGCATCGCCCCACACCGAGCATCACCCCAAAGGGAACTGCCCAATAGGGAACAGCCCTATACTGAGCATCACCCCATAGGGAACAGCACCATAGGGAACATTGCCCTATAGGGAGCAACCCTAATTGAGCAGCCCCATAGGGAGCATGGCCCCATAGGGAGCATGGCCCCATAGGGAGCTGCCCCACACCGAGCATCGCCCCATAGGGAACAGCCCCATAGGGAGCACTGCCCTATATGGAGCAGCCCCAATTGAGCAGCCCCATAGGAAGCATCGCCCCATAGGGAGCAGCCCCATAAGGAGCAGATCCCATATGGACCCACCACCCCACGGACACCCACTGCACGCAACCCCACAGCTCCATGCAGACCCCATAGGAACCTCCCACCGCACGGAGACCCCCACCCCAAAGAGACCACCACCCCATAGAACCCACCACCCCACATCCCACCGGCCCATGAAGCCCCAGCGCCCCATAGGACCCAGCACCCCACGTAGACCCACCACCCCAAAGAGACCACCACCCTACGGGGACCCACCATCCCAAATCCCACCGCCCCATACGGACCCCCCACCCCATAGAACCCACAACCCCAAGGACACCCTGAACCCCACAGCACCCCCCACCCCACAGAACCCCCACCCCACAGAGCCCCTCAAGCCCGCAGCAGCCCCGCAGCCCCGGTGGAAGCGCTCAGCCGCATCGCCCCCCGCTCACCACTGCGCCTCGAAGACCCCATAGAACTCGGCGCTGCGGTCGCCGCCCGCGGCGGGGGGGGCGCTGGCGACGTGTCGGACGCGGCCGAAGGGGGGGCGGCCGGGCGGCGCGCACTGCAGCTGCGCCTTCAGGAACGTCGTCCATTTCTTCTGCAGCACTTTGTCGCCCCCCACGTCGCTCTGCGCCAGCGGGGGGGGCGCTCAGCCGCACCGACCCCCCC